CACCGCACAAAAAAAGGTTTTTTTTCTTAACTTTTTTTTGTCATTTTAAATTTCTGTTTTTTCGTTTTTCTGCAATCCCCACGCGGAAAAAAAATATCTTTTTTTTATATATATTTTCAGTTTTAGTTTATTCATCTTTCGGTCTACAGGTTCGAAATTTTACAACTTCCAAAATTATGAGTTCAGAGGTTTATGTGTTGAGAAATTTACGGGTTTAGAAATTATAAAGTTTACGGGTTCGAAATTTCGCGGTTTCGAAAGTCTAGTGGTTCAGAAATTTATGAAATTTGTGGGTTCGGAAGGTTGTTGGTTCGAAAGTTTATGGGTTCATGTTTATTGTATCAAAATTATTTATGAATACTCTTGAAAGTTATTTTTCTTAATTTGCGTACCAAACACCGAAAAATGAATAAGATTACTATTTGTTTTTCAAGAAAATATTTTCTTGCGTTATACCTAACACACCCTTGATGTAAAAGCTTTTAATTTATCATTATAATTTACTTGCTCCGTTCATTTTTACTTGGCAGATTTTGACTTTTCACGCCCCTTAAGAAACAATGATTGACATGATAATTTTATCACAATAATCCTATTAATTTGTACTCAATAATTGAACCTAAATTCACTGCGTATTTATAAGAGCCACTATGAAGTTCCAAGTACATTTAATTTTTATAGATATCAACATTTTATACATCCATTTGACCATCTCGTTAGTCAAAAAGCCTGAATTTCTTATTCTTTTTTAGCCAAACGATTGAGTAAATTTAGGAGCCAAACCATTCAGAAAATCCTTCACCCAATTTTTTTGGAGGCAAACATTATTTTAATTTTTGGAGTATATGAAATTAAAATTTTCCCACCAAAACATTACTCTATAAAACATGCTTCACTGTAATGAGAGTTCAAACAAGAATAGATACAAGGCATAATCATCAAATCTCATTAGACCAAATAGATGTGCACAGATTTTTTTGGACTAACTAGAGAGTTTTTAAAAAAATCTGAAAAAAGAAATACTCCAAAGAACAAGAGAATAAAAGTTGACTTTAGTAGACTTTTGTGTTTAATGAAGAGGATAATGAAGAGTTCTCTCTAATTTCAATATTGAGCATTGGAAAACTATAATTGAACATTATTTATTCAAGAAATGTTGGTTAATGAATTAAGGGTAAAACAGGAAAAAAATTATCTTTTCTTAATATGAGTAAAGTGACAAGTAAAAATAAAATTTATTTTTAATATACCTGCCAAGTAAAAGTGAACGGAAGGAGTAACCTATTATAAGATGTTGATTGTCTTATTTTTCAAATAACTAACTATTTATAGAAAAATATTTAAGTGACATAGTTTTAAGACAACTTCAACCACATCTTAAAGTTTCTAGGCCAGTGGGACACATATTAAAGTGTAATTTCCAAAAAATAGTGACACACAGGATAGTAAATAAGTACTCCAAAAAAAAAAACTGAAGGACCAAAGATATTAAGTGGGCGTATGGACGTAAGAATTGTAAAATTCAGGAAAAAAAGTGAAACATTTTTTCAAGTGAAAATGTTATTTGAAAACTAGAGTTGTGTTTGGATATGAATATAATTTTGGATTGTTTTTTAAGTTTTGTGAGTGATTTAAGTGAAAATTTTGAAAAATAGCTTTTTGGAGTTTTTCAAATTTTCGAAAAAATTCAATATTCATCTTCAAGTGAAAATTTGAAAATTTATGGCCAAAAACTGATTTAGAAAAAAAATGTAAAATTTTCGAAAAAAAGTAAAATTTTCCAAACGGGCTCTAAGCATGTGGGGTAGAAGTTTACCATTGAGTTATTGACAAATATTTGTAATTATTTAATTCGAGCTAAGCAATAATAGAAGCGAAAGAAGTGTTAAGAAAACGTGCATAAATATAAAAGCAGACACAATATAAGCAGCCTCTCTGCAATTTTTGGATTTTAGGTCCTCGTAAACAAAAGAAAAAGAATTCAGAAGACTTTTTTTTCACTTTTACCTTAAATATAAATGTCAAGTTTTTGATAATTATTTTCCACATAGTTAACTGGACAACAGTGACCACAAATCATTGGAAATCACTTTATGGTTAAAACAGTAAAAGATCAGCTCTTTAACTCAATTTGATTCAAATATCAAGATGTTCCTAAAACTTAAAAGGAATAGACAAAACTAATGTGTTCATACGGAATAAATCGATATCATACGGTAAAAGGCTGCATACTGTACCACACAAAAGAGTTGTGATTATCTTTTTACCTTAATGTTTTCTTTCCGTCCGGTGATAAGAATGTGTGAAGGACGAGGATTAAGGTGATGGGTTGACGGATAGTTATGATTTTTTCATAGATTTACCAGTAGTACTAGTAGTATTCTTGTTGGTTGAAAAATACTTTCCTTTAGTTTGTTATTGTTTCTGGTACTTAGCTACCATGTCCTTTTGTTTTTTTTTTTTTCTTTCTGAAAATTGCTACTGGAAATTGTTGCTCCGCGATTGTTACTATTTGATGTTACTTTTTTTTTTCCCATTTTATTGAAAATTGTTGTTCTCTCATTGTTACTATTTGATGCTACTTTTTCTCCCCTTTTTCCTTATTGTCTTTTGTCTCCCTTTTCTTTCTTTCTTACCCCTCTTTCTTCTTCTTCTTCTTCTTCTTCTTCTTCTTCTTCTTCTTCTTCTTCCTTGCCACCTTTTCTTGAGCCGAGAGTCTATCGAAAATAGCTTTTCTACCTCTTCAGGTAGGGATAAGGTCTACGTACACACTACGCTCTCCAAACTCCATCTGTGGGATCATACTGAATTTGTTATTGTTGTTGTTGTAGTTGTAGTATTCGATATTCATATTGGAGTTCTAAGTGTTCAAATACGTGCCATGTAACGTTCAAGAGAAAATGCTCCTTGATTTTTTCCGTCATTAATTGGATAGTTTGATCACAATAACATCAACAATATATTCAATGTAATTTTACAAGTGGGGTTTGAGGAAGGCTGTGTATACGCAGACTTTATTCCTATATTGTGAAGGTAGAGAGACTGCTTCTGATAGACCCTCGACTCAAAAATAATATGACCGTAAGCAGAAGTAAAATAACGAGATAACACACAATAAAGGAAGAAAATTCTAGTTTCTTAACATGATGATTTTCTTTTTTGGATAGATTTGTAACTTGATAAGAAATCCTCGGTTGAAATAAGCTGCAAAATTAAAAAATATAGAGTCAAACATCTCTATAACAATCTCGTTTGTTTCAGATATTTGTGGATGTTATAGCGAATTGCTGTTATATAAGGATATTGTTATAAAGAGGTTTGATTGTATTCCGAAATCCGAACCCCCCATACTGTAATTAGCGAGCTCATATCTTCGATAAATCAATTTCCTTTTTGGTGCATTCCTTACCTTGAAAAGTACAACAGCAGCAACCCAGTATAATCTCATTAGTGGGGTCTGGGGAGAGTAGTGTGTACGCAGACCTTACCCATACCCTGGGGTAGAGAGACTGTTTTCAATAGACCCTCGGCATCCTTCCCTCCAAGAACTCCTCACCTTACTCTTGGGGTGACTCGAACTCACAACCTCTTGATTGAAAGTGGAGGGTGCTTACCTTCAAGTACAAAGGAACAAAATATATCCAAGGAAAGAGACCAAAAACTGTCCTGCCTCTAAATTTGATACAGACTCTTGCTTCTTTTTGTTCAAAGAAAAAACATAATAAGTGAGTTTTCTTGTCTTTGACGGACCCCTTGATAAAATACTAGTAATTCTTAAAAAATAAATAAGAATTTTAACTAAATTATTCTTATTTAAAATTTACGTATTATTAACTTGACCGATTGATATATGTAAATAAGGGCAAATTTTAAAAAGTAAAATTAATTTATTTTAATTATATAAAAGAACACTTATTTTGAACAAAAATAAAAAGGCCAAAAGACCAAAGGATCACTTATTATGAATCGAAGGGAGTATGATATAATAATACTAGGTGAAGTACATGCTACTCTCCAAATAATGACTCACAAAGGTCTATATTTTTTGGTTGTGGGTGATGGTAAAACAAAGAATATTTTCAAAAATTATTTTCCATGATCAAATACTTCAAAACAAAAATGTTTATCAAAAGTAAATAGATCTTACAAATTTATGTGCAAATATCCTACGATTTACTAATATTATTAATAATCTATAATGTTTATTTTTCCAAAAAATAATTCACATTGGAAAATATAATTTCTAGCAAATATTTTTCATAAAAAAATGACTTTAGTCATACCATACCTATTATGAAAAAAAAATCAATTTCCTCAAATTATCAAAAAGTCACCTAATATGAAAACTCATTAAATTAGTAAATTGAAAAATCATTCACTTTTCAAATAGTAACAAAACTATTCTTCTTTTGGCAAGGGAGTACATAATCACATGAGCCTAATAATAAACAACACATCCCAAATCAAATGGAGTCTTGACCGAATCTCCATGTAGAGCTCGGCAGGGTTTGGACTCATTACGTGCGCATAATTCACACATGACATGATGCGTTGCGCTCTTACTTCTTGACCAAAGCCCCGAGGGCCATTTTTCTAACGAAATCTAAAAGGGCCATAAGTCACCCCAGACCGATCTTCGAGCCTGATGATGCAATGTTGGGTTTTTGCTCTTTGTAATAACAATTCGGTCAAACGAGCCTTCAGTGCCTTCTCGATCCATTGATCGACAAATGTCCATCTCAACCCGCTTGCCCCTTCTTAGAGGATTGTATATGATTCTTCCCCAACCACTACCAAGATTAGCATGGGCTGTTTCTTCGCCTTCTTCCTCCCAATCATCATTTTCAGTAATGGCGTCTGTTTCTGTAACATCGGAATCATAGGAGATTGGATCTTCATCTTGAACATCCTCATCTTCTGAGATGAACTGGTCCTCTGACATAAAAGGAAAAGTGTCACTATTTTGTAATGTGTTAACAGCAGGTTCTAGATAAATATAAAAATTTTTAGATGGCAAAGCAAATCAAAGATCAAAATACTGATAAGCAAATACCATAGTCAATCTCTAAATCCTCTGGATTTCTTCTGGCATGCTGCTCCTTCAAAGTCTCAAACTTCATACCATCCAGTGGCCAAGGCTCCCTAATTGAAAGAAACAATAAGTTCAATTAAAGGTTAGCTTAAGGTAGTGAAACAAAAACAATGAAATTTCACAATTGTGATGATATAACAAGCTAAAAACAACNACAATTGTGATGATATACCAAGCTAAAAACAATTTAACTAATGGCATGTTGTATTCTTGATGAACAACTTGCCTTGGCCGTTGTCCTCGTTTAAAAGCGATAAAGCAAAACTTTTCATCTTCAAAGCCACGTAGAGGCTCACCTTTCGACCGCTAACAGACCATGAAAGAAACGGAATCAGAAACATGATTAATACCCATGTATTGGGAAAAAGAAAATGCAAGCTTACACAGGAAACGGAGACTTCATCAAATTCAGAGTGCACATTTTGTAGGGAAAAGGAATATGAGGCAAACCTTGTAGGCACGTTGTGATGTTGTCCTCTGCAAGCGTTGAACAAAATGACAATATTTTCCAGTGTTATCCAAAGGACAACTTCCATCATGCGGACACTGCAAACAAAAGAACTAATTCATTGAGATAGAAAAGTAGTGCAAATCTATTCAGGTAGTTTCATTACAAACTTTACGCTTACTGGNGTAGAATAGTAATAAAAATATATGTAAAGGGGTTATAGGTTCGCACTCATGAAAAGTAAAGCACTCAAAACTGCTAGAGAGAGAGAAACAAGAAAGCAATCCTTAACCACAGGTCTAGATATTCCTTTATTGTACAACAGTAACAGGCCACAATATCAAGCAGCACATTAAGTCCCACGGATAACAGCAAATGACTCCAAGATATGACATCTTAGGTCGCGGCTTGTGAATCTCAGCGAATCTCCTTCATATAAACATGACAAAAGCTCAAGGCATACAAAATCTTCTTCTTGTTGGCAAATTCTATACTCTGATAAGAGGACAATTTGCAAGGCTGGAACAAGTTGCATCAGCTTTATAAAAATATGTACACATAGAATTGTATTACGTTGTGTCTGAAGAACAGATTTGATATACTTTCACATCAAAACAGCACAATAGACATACTTCCACATAAGCCAGTGACTCAGAAAAATTAACTAGCTGATCAACGAGGCAGTAAATAGCTAGTAATTAGGATTCAAAAAAATGCTTCCTAAGAGTATCAGACTTTTCCAGATCTGAAGGAGTCCATAGAACACCAGAATGTACCTTTTATAAGGCTCTGTCCAGCACGCTGCATGGACTGTGATGGCTCCACCAAATTAATTCTATTCAACGACCGTGGCCACACTTCTCTAAGTGCCCTGCATAACCACACAATTCAACAACTTATTAAACCAAAGGGTCAACAGATATTAACATATAGGTATGACAATTAACCAGCAGAAATCAACTAAATACAATATCAATATTCTTCTCACCAAAATGCAGAACCAGTCCCAGCCCCAAAATCCAACACCTTAGCTGGTGAAAACCCAGGCAATCTTCTACGAACCTAAAGTAAAATCATATCAAAGCAATCACTTTTCGCAACCAAATTCATATTCATGTTTCAAAACTCAAATTTTGGAAAATTCATCTGAAAGGACAAAATAGGAATGTAAAAAATCATTTCAATGAGATATCATATTTGTTTACCTCACTAAGCACTCTATAAAGAGCAGAGTAGACAGCAGGCATACGGGAC